GCCGGGCCAGCTGCCAGGGGCCAGACCTCCCTCCTCAGTCTATACCCCCCCAACACTCACACACCCTCTGGACTGCTCAGGCCTCTGCCCCCGCCCCCACCGCCCACGCTGTCCAGGCTGCCTAGGCCTGGTGGGATCTGGGGGCCTCTTGGTCTCAGCCCCTCCTCCCCCTCGCGGAGCTTCCAGCCAGCCCTGACTGTCCCTCCCAGCCTCTCCCTTGGCCAGTGCTGCTCCTCCTTGCCCACCACATCATTGTCTCTGTCTCTGCCCTTGCTCTCTCATTTTCTCTATCTCCAAGTGAAGGTGTCTCTTTTCCTTGCTCTGCCCTAATTCCTCTGCAGGTCTGAGGCCTCTAGAGTTTCCAAGGCTTTTGAGTCAGTTAGTCCATGCTGTGTCCTGTCCTGTGTTCTTGCCTTTTCTCAGGATGGGTCCTCTACAGCTGTTGTGGGGAGAGGGAAGGGGGCGAGGCCCTAGGACAAAGTGTCTTTTCCCTCACACTGAGGGATTCTGGAGTCGGGGGTTACCGAGGTGGACTAGAAGCTGTGGAGATGTCACCTTGGCCATGCCGTGGGTTAGATGCCCTCCCACAGATATGAATGTTCTTGACCTCACCCTGGTCTGAGACCCTGGGGTGGGTAGTGTAGGCCAGTGACTTCGGTTGGATTTCAATTTTGGGGCATACCACATGGGCCTCCCTGTTCATTCATTCTTCAGACCAAATTGAGCCTACCTCACCCTCAGCGCACCCACCCCAACTAACGCCCTGAAGTCAGAACATACTGTTGCACATCAACACGCACACACAGTTACAGCTGGGCCCCAGCCAGTGGTGCTCAGAATCCCCCACTCCTACTCTGGATGTGGCAGGGATTCCTGAGGGCTGGGCCTCTGTAACCTTCTGCAGGGATTAATAGGAGCTCTCCAGACACACCTCCCCACCCTCAGGTCATGCCTTCAGCTGGTCAAGGGGTGAGGTTTGGGGGCACAGGGTACCTGGGACCTTGCTGGGGCTGGCAAGAGGGGTCTTGGGCCCTGGATCTTAAGCCAGCCTCAGAAACTGAGTAATTGAGGTCCCTAATCTGGAGCCTGTCACTGTGTCTGTCAGCATCCCTGCTAGTGACTGTCAGCCTCTTTGTTACCACTATTACTGTAGGCCGCTGTCATTCTGTGTGACCGTCCATGTTACTGAGTCTGACTGTCGGCATCCCCGTGTTACTGTGGATGCACCATCATTGTTACTCTATGTGACTGTCCATTTCATCGCATCTTTGATTCTGGAGTTATTGTCACTGTGATTGTGTCTGTGTCAACAGGTGTCATTGCCCCATTTGTTGGTGTCATTATTTATGACTGTCACTCACTACATTGTCACTGTAATGACTGTCAATATCCCTGTGTGCCATTGTCAACCATACACATGTGTCATTTTCACTGGGTGGTGTTCTCACTGTGTAATGGTGTCTTTGTCTCACAGTCGGACAGTGACAGTAAATTAGGGGCCCAGGATTTGTCTCTTGATGTGTCATCTGTGTGTGTATAGTGAGGTTCTGTGTCAGGAGAGGTGCTGAACTCCTTGTGTTAACAAGGGGGTGTGGGCTGCTAGGTACTGGCCTCCTTTCTTGTTGGTGAGTAGTCTCTGTTGCCTCCTCATTGTGGAGCTGGGGCTAGAGGCCAGGCTGGCCCGTGCAGGGGGTCTACAGAGAGTTTCAGCCAGTTTGCATAGCCCCTATCTGAGGCTCTATGGGATTTATCCTCCAGATCTATCCCAGAGCCATGGGGTGTGGACTTGGAAAATTCTTGGGGAAGATGCTCTTTGCCCTGGGATGGGTGGCCCGAGGTGAGCTAGGGCAGGGTGGAGATAGAGCCTGGATGCCTCTGGCCTCAGCTTCCCTACCTGGGAATGGACCCAGCTGGGACTCTGAAGGAAGGGAGGAGTGAAATTGGCTTGGGGTTTTCTGGATCTGCAGGGGCAGAGAAGGGGTGGGGTAGGGTGGGGTTTTAGTCTTCCCTTATTCCCTGGGGGCTGCACTCCTGGATCGCCAGGGAGAAGCCCTACAGCCTCCAGGAAGGTTGCACTGACACCATCGTCCCTTAGCACTGGAGGAGCTAGGTGGGCTTAGAGGGATGCTCTAGGATGGGCACAGAGACCCTCTCTGGATCTGTCCCTTCCTCTGTCCTTGAATCTCTGCCCATCCCCTGTTGTCCCCATCTCTCTTCCTGGGTCTTTTCTCCCATTTCTCCCTGACTTGGTCTCTGCTTGTCCCCTGGGTCTTGGCTCATGGCTTTCCTTCTCTCTTGTCCTCTTTGCTCCCCCCTCCTGGGGTCTCTGCCTTTTCTGGGTGCCCCCAGCCATGCAGTGTCTGTTTCGGTACCCCATCCCCCACTCTCTGCAGCACTCGCTCTCGGCAGCGCCCGTCTCCCATGGCTGCAGCCCCGTTGGCCCAGGGCCCGGCCCTTACAGTAACTCATCGGGCTGATGGAGGCGACTTTGATGAAGAAGCTACCCCTCCCCCTGAGGGGGCCTGAGTGTGTGTGTGTGTGTGTGTGTGTGCGCGTGCGTGTGCATGCGCACGCTTATATGCATGCACACTCATGCCAGGCTGTCTTCTTGCCCCCGCACCCCCAACTGGGACCAGGAAGGAGCTGGGAGCAGAGGGCCACCCTGTCGCTCTTCCATCCTGTGATCTAACCTTGCTCCCTTCTGCCTCCCCAGGCCCTGGTTCCTGCCCCCACGTGGTGGGCAGTGGGGCCTGGCACTGAGGTGGAGTATCTTCCCGGCTGTGGGGAGAAAGGCACGGACAGATGGCAGAGGTGGTGGGGGAGCCTCTGAGGCCTACCTGCAAGGGTTGAGGTGGGGAACCAGGTAGGCCTATAGCCTCTTGCCTGCCTCTCTTTTTCTCTCCCTCCCCGTCCCTCCCTCCCTCCCTCCCTCTGAATTCAGATCATCCCTGGGTTCATTTTCTGGACCCACTGCTCGCTGACTGTGATGTTGGCCATCGTCTTCACCTTCTAGGCCTGAGGAGTAGTTGAAGATAGGGGAGTGGCTGAGGGTCAGGAGGAGCCAGGCCAAGTGGTAGCTAAGGCCCTGGGAGTCCCTGATGTGGGAGGGGCAGCCAAAGCCACCTGGGGCCTAGAGAGATAAGCTGTGCCAGGGAGGGGCAGGAAGAGCACCTGCTGCTTGGCTGGAGGAAGCCAGGTGCAGAAGCGGGGCCTTGCCTGGTGAGGGCGAAGTGTAGCCACGGGCAGGCCGGAGCCCTGTCCCATACAGGAGCCCCCGGAAGTCAGATTCTCTCCAGTTCTCCCACTCACTGCTACAGGGCTGACCCCCACATTTGTCTCCTCCCTGCTATAGCTCTGTTTGCCGTTTCTCTGGCAGTCCTCTGGCTGTATGTCTGGCTGTTTGTCTGGCAGTATTTCTGACAGTGTCTCTGGCTGTGTCTGGCAGCATGTCTGTGTGTCTGAGTGTCCCTGGCACTGTTTTCAGTGGTGTGGATACTTCCTGACTGAGCATCTGGCTATGTCTCTGGCTCTCTTTCTAGCTGTTTTTTTGGGTGTATGCCTGTTTGTGTCTATCAGTTTCTCTGGTATTTCTCTGCCTGTGTGTCAGGCAGTTTCTCTGGCAGAGTTTCTGACAGTGTCTCTAGCCCCCTTGCTATGTCGCTGATGGTTTCTGTGCCTGTGTTTCTTGCTCTTTCTCTGGGGGTAGGTCTGCTTGCATCTGGCCAAGCCTTTTCCAGTATTTCTGGTGGACCCTTTGGTGCTGTGTCAGTCTTTCTCTGACCATGCCTCTGCCTGTTTATCAGGTCATAGCTACCCGTTTCTCTGGCTTTATCTGATGGTGCCTCGCACAGTATCTCTCGTGTATCTCCTGCTGTGCATGGAGCTCTTTCCCTGGGACTCTGGTTGTTTTGGGCAGTGTCTTGGCTGCGTGTCAGGCTGTATCTCTGACAGTTCCGCTCACCCTGCTGGAGTGTCTGGCAGTATTCCTCTCTAGATCTCTGTTTCTGTCTGGTTGATGGCTCCCCTCTCACTTCACACTGGGGTAGGAGAGAGTCATATTTGAGACTTTTTTTCTGCAGGAAATAGTTATTTCCCTGCCCTCTAGTGTGATCGTGTGTTGGGGGGAGAGTGGGGGGCAGGCAGGTGGATCTACCCCATGAAGCAGGACACAGATGAGGGGACCCCTGGATCCATCCTGGCTTCTGGGGACATCCTGACTGTGCTGCGTGTACCTGCAGAGGTGTGTGTAGACATGACGCACATCTGGGCTGAGGGTCTCAGGCTCCTGGGGCATGTGTCTGGGGTGAAGGATGGGCTGGGGCCCCCGACAAGGACTTACATGTGAAATGCCCTCCTTTTCTCATGGTCATTGGGTCATTGTACACTAAAGCAAGAGCCATATCTGACCTTGATACCCTGATGCTGTGAACATCCCAGAGCCCAGGGGCAAGGCTCACGGAGAGGTGGGGGTACAGATACAGGTGGGGGTGCAGATTCGAGAGACTTCAGAGCATCCGGGTTTCAGGCTCTCTCCCCAGGAGCACAGCAGGGGGCCTTCCATTTAAGGCAATTTGGAGAAATACAGACCTCCTGTTAAGTTCAAGCATTACTCTTTCGGTTTGTAGTGCTTATAGCTAATTAGCCAACCTCACCAGTAAAGTTATTTTTTTTTTTTAAAAATGGCCCTAGCATTACCAGTGTTCCATAACTCATCCGTGGTTGACTACATCCTGCAGCCAGCAGCCTTAGCGAACAACAAACCACTGTAGGTTGCCTTCTACCATCTTAGCAAGCCTTTGCCTACAGATGTCAATAATGTTGCTTTCTGTTGCTTGAAAGAGAATCCTGAGCCCCATTAAGAAGGGCATTTGGGGTCAGGGTGCCCTAGCCCTAGGGCTGGGATCTCCCAGTCTTGCCAGAGAACAGGGAGGGGCTCCTCAGGAGGCTCCTGCCTGGCCTGATGCTGCCCCTTCCCCCGCCACCCCCATTTCTCCCAGCAGATGGCTGCCCCCATCCCGTGGGCCTGCTGTGCTGTGCTCGCTGCCGCCGCCGCCGTTGTCTACACCCAGAGACACAGTCCTCAAGGTGAGTGCTGGAGGAGAGGATTCTGGGGGGCCGGATGGTGCTCCCTGCTGGCTCCCACCCAGAGCCGAGCATGAGCCTTCCTTGACACAGCTGTGTGTGTCCACCCAAGACCACACACTGGCACGTCCTGGCATTGTCACACAACACCATGAGTCCTATGACACTGATATGCTGGGTGACCCACTGCTGTTGTCTTACACACACAGTCCTCCAGTCACTCCACGTGGTCCTGTGCTGATGGTATCTTTGGCTTGATGATCTGTTCCTCTTCCCGCCAGAGTGGGTGTAGGGTACAGGCAGGTGGGATGGGAGTTGGGGGCAGCTAGGGGTAGGGCCCTGTATAGTATCTTTGAAATGGGATCTCATTTGAAATGGGGGTTTGTGGGGGTGCGGTGGAAGGCACTGAGAGAGACAGAGGCCAAGACTACTTCCCTGTATCCTAGAGGGATGGTGGAGACAGAGATGGTAGACTGAGAACAAGATTTGGGGACGGGCAGGGTGAGCAGTGGGAGAGGGCTGACACACTAAGGAAGGGGATAAGTCAGTCAGCTGGAATGGTTGGACGAGGCAGGGATTGCTCAGGCTGGACCATTGGCAGCCTCCTGCCTTCCCCCTACCATTTGTCCAGGGAGGGCTGAGTTCTTACTGCAGCCCACATAGCAAGAAGCTGCCCCCCTGCTGGGAAACAGGTTCCCTCTTAACTTGACCACCAGTGCTCAAACTGCATTTGAGGCAACACCTCACATGGCTACATCAGCATAAGGTCTGACCTCGAAACTCCTCAAACAAGCTCTAAGGTGTAGGGAGCTCTCCCCTTGGATGGGTCCTGCCCCCTGCCACCCTTGGCTGGGTTGGCTAGAGGCAGAGAGGGTGGGGGCATTTCTGGGGCCCAGGCACAGAGCACACCTTGCCACCCTCAAGGCTGTGGGTTCAAGGAGGGCAATGAGTCAAAGCTCCTGTGCCTTCTTCCTTGAGAGACTGACACTGAGACCCAGAAAGAGCCTAGCCCACCCCAGGGCTACTCCCCAGTGGGCAGGGAAGGGAAAGGACCACCAGGCCAGCCCATTAACCCCTGCCTGCAGTCAGTCTGTCTTGGGCTTGTGTGCTGATCTCACCTGCTTGGACCTGCCAGCGGCCATTCCCACCGGCTTGGCCCCTGCCCTGTATTATGGGTAAAGGCAGAGCACATGTGACCAAGGGCTTGAGCGTTAAGTCCGCATCTCTGAGAGTGTCTAACTGTCCTTGTCTATTAGGGCTGTGCTCTTGTGTGGATGAGACCATGTCCCTGTTCAAATGCATTTCTCTGTGTGGTTGTATCCCTGGGGGCTGTGCCCTGTGTGTGACATTGTCTGTTTACGTGTGACCATGCTCTTTGTGGGGCTTTGTCCTTGTGGCCGAGACTGTACGCTGTGTGATGGTTTGATAGTTTCTCTCTGTTTCTGTCTCTTTGCATGTCTGTGTCCCTGTTCAGTTGTCTCCCTGATGGGAGACTGTGCCCTTCTGTGTAAGTGTGCCTCTGGGTGACATTCCCTCCCTGTGCGTGCATGTGATTGTCTTGTATTAGGTGTTAACCGTCCCTGAAGTGGGACCGGCTCCCTGTGTGACTGTGACCTTGTGGACAGTTGTTCTGGGTGTGTTTGTTCTTCTTGTGGTGACTGTCCTCATCCTGCGTGTGTGGCGATGTGAAGTTGCTTAGGACGCCCGGGGGGACTGTTTCCGGCATGTGGTCCCCATGTGAGCCCGTGTGCACAGGTGTGAGGGAGCCGTCAGCTCTGTCCTTCTGTGTTCTCCATGTCCATGACCTCATCCTGTCTCTGTCTCTCATCCTGGCTTCTAACAACCTTTTCACAGCTGATTCCTTTGGAGCATTTGTCACCGCGTCAAGGCCAAGAACCCCATCCTCCCCCTGCCGCTTGATTTAATTTCCGAAATGGACAGCACATCAGTAGGGGCACCCACGGGGCAGGAGGAGAGCTGTCCAGAGACAAAGGATTAAATCACTGCCATCTTTGGAGCTGTTGCATGGCTGTGTGTGTATTGCCGTTGTTGTGTTACTGTAGCATTTGTGACAGTGTGTGTCTTGCGTGATTGTCATGTCATGTTGCCCCCTCTACCTCCGCTTTGTGGCCTGTAGTTGTCTTCTGTCATTGCGTTGTCATGTCTTCCTTCCTGCCCTGCCCTTACATTGTTGGTTTGTCATTGTTGTCACGTTGTATTTCTGTTTCCTTTGTGAGGCAGACAGGGTGATTTGGGAGTGTTATCCCATTGTCATTATATTTGTTGTGCTGTTGGGTGGCTGTACCTGCCCCACAGTATTAAAGAACCACATTGGGTCCAAATTAGTTCTGAGCTGCTGTTGGTCAGTGTTGACGTGTTGCTGCTGGGACCATGGTGGCCACACCCCCTCCCCTACGGTCAGTTTTCAGCCTCCTCCTCAGGCAGCTGGATGCAGAGTCTGTGCTGGGGGGGGTGGGGAGGGTTCAGAGAGAGGGGCTTGGCATGTTTCCTGGAAGCTCCAGGTTTTGACAGGGGAGGCTGGAGGGGGGCTCAGTGGCTAGGGCTGGTGGATTGGGGGAGCTCTATGGCTTGAGCCTTGGACACTGGGCCTCTGGTCAGGGGGAGGCCCCCATTCAGTCTCTGGTCCTGCCTCACAGCTGTGGCCTCCAAGGCCCCCAGCCACCGCCCTTCTGCTGTTCATCCTTTGTTTGGCTGGTCCCAGGCCTCACAGACGAGTGGTCAAGGCTGGCTGGGTTTCCTGCTTCCCTCTCCTCCGACAGGGGACAGGGATCGAGAGGCTCAGAGAGGGGCAAGACAGAGGCAGGCAGCGGGGGAGAAACCTGAAGACACGGAGAGAACCTGGCACAGGAAGGGTGACAGGCAGCAAACAGGGACAGATGTTCCAGCACAGAGAAAAGCAGTACTGGGGAGGGGACTGCGACGGAGGGAGGGGGGTGGCTGGTGGCATAGGGGGATCCCTACCCCCTACAGTCCTGGTGGTGTTAACAAGTCTAATTAAGAGGCCACTGGCCCAAGTTAATTGGCTCGTTAACAGGAATTGCCTCTGAAAATCCCCCAACTCAGCAGGGTGGCTCTCCAGAGGGGAGATGTAAGCAAGTGTTAACGAGGGATCCCGCAGCCCCCCCCCTCACTGCTGTCCCCCCTCCCACCTCGCACTCTTCCCCTTCCACCCTCACTCCACAGATCTGGCCAAGACCAGGGAAGCCTCTGTCCTTCCAGGCTTGGGGGCAGGATGAGGAATGAGGAGATTCGCTGATTCGCATCACCCAGCTCTGCATGCCTGCCCCTGCTCTGGAGATCTGTGTCCTCTTCACCTCCCCCACCTAGTGCTGCCTCTCGACAGGTGCTCCCTCCCACCCTTCCACTCGTCTCCTGGGTTCAGTCCATCACGCCTGGGTTGCCGAGGCCAGGGCTGGGGTTTGCTTTTGGCTCTGACAGGCCCCTCCTGGGGGCAGGAGAGGAATGGTCATAGAGCTCTCTCGGCCCCAGCACTTCCCTGCACGCCCCCCAACCCCAGCAGTTCCTGTCTCCCCAGAGTTGATAGCTGCCAGGAGTTCCCTAGGGCTCCCATCCTGGATCTCCCTTCTGCTGCTGCCCGAGCCCTGGATGGTGGAAGCGGGGCAGGTTAGGGGCAGCTTGTCAGGGGGGCCAGAGTGGGAGGGAGAGAGGCAGGCCAGGAGACAAAGATGGGGACAAGAGACAGAGAAAGGAGTCCAGAAGTAGGGCCCCTCAGCTCCAGCTTGCCTGGGTAGCAGATATCAGTGGTTGGGGCTGGGCCTGTAGGTGGCAAGAGGTTAGGGTCACGGGGTTCAAGAAAACTTTTTGAAGGACCTAGTGACTGGAGGTGAACTGGGTCTTCTGAGGTTTAACCCCTTCCAGCACTCTACACAAACTTTCTCCCACACACATACACACCGAAGATCACCCATTCACACACAAAATCCCCAGACGTGTACACACACACACACACACACACACACATTCTGAGACACTCACAGTCACAGATAAATTTTAAACTTTCCTCATCTCCTGACACTCACACCATCAGACACAGAGCCTCTTGGCCTAGACTTCTCACTCATAGGCTCTCATCTGTGCACATTCACCTGGTGGTGCTGGGCAGGGCTGTGACCTGTGACTTTTGCCCTGTGCTCTCCCTGCCCCCCACAGAATCCCCCCACGTGCAGTACGAGCGCCTAGGTTCAGATGTGACTCTGCCATGTGGGACAGCAAACGGGGATGCAGCAGTCACATGGAGGGTAAATGGGACAGACCTGGCCCCTGACCTGCTCAACGGCTCTCAGCTTGTGCTCCACGGCTTGGAACTGGGCCATAGTGGCCTCTACGCCTGCTTCCACCGTGACTCTTGGCACCTGCGCCACCAAGTCCTCCTACATGTGGGCTGTAAGTGTTGCTCCCAACCCCTCATCTGACCACCCCCCACTTCACTCAAGAGGATTGTCAGTGAGGCTTAGACCCTTGGCCCAGATCAGGTCCTCTTCCTTTCGGGGAGGGGGTGCTGCAGCACCCTGACCCTTGCTCTCTGATCCGGTCCTAGCCTTCTCTTCTGACCTCTGAGCCCAGTGTTCGCCACGGAGTCCAGACCCCTGGGCGTTTTGCGCATGTATCCCACCCCCAGCCCACCCCCAGAGGTCTGTGAGATCTGGAAATTGCGTTCCCTGTGACAAGATGGGCAGAGGAGGGCTAGCAGGGCATGATCCTTCCGGGGCCTGGTAGGGAGGAAACCTGGGGTCACAGCTCCAAGCTGGAGCGACCCCACTCCATTGTATGCTCTCACAGGGGCTGGTTCTGCAGGTAGAGGAACGGGTACTCTGGGAGGCTCCAGGCAAGAAAGAACACTTCCGGGAGTGGGGGGCACACGGAGATTGGGAGATTTGGAGGATACATTGACAAAGTCACTTCTGGCAGAGAGCTAAGTGTGACTATAGGCCTCAGAGGCTGGGAGGGTATGAAAGGGCCACTTGGGCTGGTGTAAATGGGGGAAGGGAGCTAAAGGAGGGGATGGGGCAAATCATGATCCTAGAAGCTAGGGAGTGACTTGAGCAGGGTCATCATGTTCTTAAGAGACCCTTCTCATGGTAGTGAAGAGAGACAGCTTGGATGGCAGCAATGCCAGGGCAGGAAGGAGGCTGTGGCTGGATGCAGGGGAGATGATGAGGACGAGGGACCAGGGCATGGAGTCCCTTACTGGTTGGACCTCCAGGAGTTGGCGGTGGATTGGAGGTAGAGAGGACCAGGAGCGTAGAGAGCAGGAGGGGTCAGGATGGATAGCGCTACCAATCGCTGCAGCAGAGGCAAGGCGGAAGGGTCAGTGGAGGAGAAGATGGTGTGTTCTGGGGGCACTTGGGTGGTTCAGTCAGTTCAGCGTCTGACTTTGATTTCAACTCAGGTCTTGATTTCAAGGTCCTGAGTCCAGGCCCTGTATTGGGCTCCATTGGGCGTGGAGCCTACTTAAAAAAAAAAAAAGAAAAGAAAAGAAAAAAAAGATAGTGTGTTCTGTTTGGACAGTAGTATGCAAGTCATCTTATTTTGGATTTCCCTAGAATCAGATCCCAAGATGAGAGTTTATATGCAAGTAGTTTATTTGTCAGGTGGCAGAAACACCATAAGGAAATGAGAAAATGCTAGAAAAAGGAAGTTAAGGGGACCAACAAAGACAGAGTTATCCAGTTATCTTCTGGGCGACTGCAGCTTCGCCCTGTGAGAACTCTGAGAGCCCAGGCAGAACATGTACCTGGGAGTTCTCCCGCCTGAGCGGTGAGGGAGTTCAGCTTATATACTAACTCCTGCCCGTCCTGGGTTGAAGGAGTCTACCGGGGTGGGGGCAGGGATGCTTTAATCCCCCCCGCATTTTTGGCATGATGCCTCAGCAAGCAATGCAGATTTTAGTGACCAATGAAAGCTCTTAGGCATATAACTACAGAAGAGGGCGGTAGGTATGGGCCAGGGATCTGTTAGGGCCTCACTGCCATCTGCTGTAGATATGTTGGCTTGGGGTCCTCAGGGGACAAGGGGAGCTGATGGCTGTAGCCAGTGGATCTGAGGGTCTGGGACTCAGGAGAGGCCTGGGCTGAGGATGGGATGAGAAAGGCCATGGAGGGGATGAGATGGCCCAGGGAGGGAATGCTGGGATGAGAAGAGAAGAGGGCCCAGAACTGGGCCCTGAAGACCATCACTTCATAAAGGGTTGATGGAGAGAAATGAGCCACAAAAAGGGATAAGAAGGAGCCAACAGGAAGGTAGAGGGGAAAAGGGAATGTGATTGAGAAGACAGGTTTGGAGAAGTTGGAATGAAGAGCTTATCAGTGTTGCTGAGGGTCAGCTGGGCAGGCACCCACCAACAGAATATTCTGAAAATAGTTCCATTTCTTTTCTCCTTGAGCGAAAGATTCACGTTTCTTTGGCCTCATCCCATTTGGGGGATGCACCCCACTTTCTGAGGATGGTTTCTTTATTCCCTGGGAGCTGCTGAGAGGAGGAGATGCTTGAGTGACCTGGGAGCAGGCCCTTTCCCTGTTGTCAGGAGATTGGTATGGACAACCATGGGAAATGTTAGACTGAAGGGTTGGTTGCTCATTGTCATCCACAAAACACTGACCCACCGGTGGGGTTAGAGGAGGGGTGAAAATATGTTTTTGGGGGGGGATATTCCTTTTCACACAAAAAAGCCTTCCTGTGTTTAAACTGGAAAGATGGCAATCATATCCAAGTGTCTTAGGTGCAAGCCAAGGATGGAATGACCCCTGTCGGCCAGCTTGAGAAATACAGGACCAGCTTACCTGAGTTCTCCCTGGCCCACCATGAGGTCTGTTGACGTGGAACGCTCAGCCTAGCCCCATGTCCTTACACATAGAAAAGTGCCATGGAAGAAGGATGAGACCAATTTGACACCCCTGTCTTCTCAATTTGAGTCGTCGAAGTCCTTAGAACAAGGCTGGCCATGATGGCAGGGCCTTGGTGACCCTGGGCCCTCTTCCTAATGACTTGATCTTTCAGAGGTCATTGGAGGGAAATTGGGTCTAGAAATGATGTCTGTAGTCTGTACCCACAGGACATGTCCACAGCTGCCCCGTTGTGACCAGAGCCCAGACCCTTTATAGTGCTGACCACTCCCCAGGCCCTGCCTGTCAGAGGAGAACTGGCCATGAATTGGCTGTAGCATTAGTAACAGGTACTTATCTCTCATTGCCTTATTTCCTTCTAAAGAGCTGGTCAGAGGAACAGCAGACATTAATCATGATCGTCTCAGTCACTTTATATTAGTAACAAGAGACTGGGTTTGGCAACACTCAATATCAAATTATTCTTCTAGCCAGCACTCAGAACAGGACAAAGTTACCTCTGATTTGTGAGTCATTCAAGCCAAAAATTATTTAATATTTACCTTAAACATATAAGATTTTCATGTTTTTATTTCCAAGGGAAACTGCTCATAAAAATATGCTGTTGAAAGTCCCCTTAACCAGACTGATCCCTGAACTGCTTTCTTCCAGTCCACCTTCCTGCCCTCCGCTCACAAACAGCTCAGAGGAGTCCTGTGCCCAGGGTGATGAAAGGACCGCCCACATTAGGAAACACGATCACCAGGTTACCTTTAGTAGCATCCTTTTGTTTACTAGATGCTGCTGATTCAGTGTCTTTCTAATTTTAAGCTAAAACAAATCAGAGTGATTTACTGATCTTTAAATGGACGGTTCCTTGTCCAGTTTTTACATATCTGTATTTGATTGGTCAGGACAGGAACTCCGGAACCCCTGGTTCGGGACTGCTTCCCTCTCAGCCCTGTTTGGCTGAGAAGGAAAGAGCAGCTTGTGGATGAAGATGTCTGGGGGGAAAAAAGACAGGTGGGAGGCAGGAGAGGGGCATCTGGGAAGCCAGAAGTTGGGGTGCCTTGAGAGACGTCATGAGATAAGGTTGGGACAGGCCAAGGGCTTTGATGCCAGACAGGAGGAGTATGGGTGGGGCCTGGGAAGGGCTGGAGCTGGAAGGGTCACCCTGCCCTGCCCAGCCCGATCTGGCCTGGCCAGGGGTGTGGGCAGCCTGCCCCTCCTTCTCTCTGCCGGCGGGCAGGCCTCGTGCGTGCCGGGGGCTCCAGCCCAGGCGGGCTGGCGAGATGAGAGGAAAAACATGCGGTTTGGTGGGCTGGACATGGAAAAACAAGCCAATTAGGAGGAAAACAAACAAACCCTGGGCCAGTGGGGGCACACGCACACATGTACACACATACACGGTCCCGCATGGGACCCGAGGACGTCCTGCCACAGGCTGCCACAGTCACTTGGGCATCTCAGGAGCCCCCACAAGGGGCAACTTGGGATGCCTGGGCATCCAGGAATACGTCTGTATGCCCAGAGAATGACTGACACATACCCATACGAGTTTTTGCTCACATACAGCCTCTAACATGTTCTCACGTAGTGTTCGGCTCAATCGTGTGGACACACTCGGAATTCTGGGCACTTTCCCACACCCACAGTTTGAAAAATATGTTCAGGCTTAGGCTTCATCTCCTGTATAGTGTTTCAGGTATGTAGTCGAGCCGTGCCTGTGTTTCAGATGCGCTGGCGCACTTCACATATTCTCAGAGGGTACCGCCGCCCCTCAGCCACACCCGTGCAGGCAGTCTTGAAATCACACAGCTTGCCCAGAGTCACACACAAATGCAGTGTGCAGTCACACACAGCCAACTGCATGGTTACACAACTGCCCACGGTTTCAGTCACACACATGAAGCCTCTCAGAGTTCACAACGACAGCCTCACAATTGCCATGTCTTAAAAACTGCTTCTTCCCCATCTTGCAGCATGCTCACAACAGGCCTGATCGCACACTGTCCCACAACCTCACACTTGGTCTCTCACGGCACCCCCACCTCCGCCCACCCGGCCCCTCAGCTGGGCTCCAGCTGCAGCAAGTCACTCCTTTTCTTCCTTTCTTTGTTTTTCTTTCCTCCTTTTCCCTCTGAAAAACCTGGTCCCTGTCAGGAAACCCAAGCCCTTCCCTACTCAGGGCCCAAGGCCAGGCAGGAGTAGCCAGATGACAGACAAAGCCCTGCCTGGCCCCCCGGTCCCCCATGACCTGCCCAGTCAGAGAGAGGAACTGGTTTGAGGGGGAGGCTGGTCTCAGGGGGGAGGCTGGTCGGGGGAATGGAGGGGACTGGTCAGTGGGGAGGCTGGCTGGTGGAGGGGGCCTGTGAGTGCCATGGCCCGCTCTGCCCTCCAAAGAGTCCCAGGCAGCAAGGAGCTGACTCTGCAGACTTCAGTACCCACCCCACCCCCAGCACCCTTCTCCTTTGAAGCTGGGGTTAAGGGAGGGGTGGTGGCAGGAGGAGGGAGTGGAGGCTTCTCAGCCGACCTCGGAATGTCCTTTTCTCCTGGGGTGGCTGCCAACTCTGGCCTGGCCTACAGGCCCCCACAAGGCACTTCCTGTGTCCTTGGCCATCCCCCACCCCACCCCCATGCCTCTGTGTCCCTGGGCAGATAGGGAAGGGATATGAGAGGCACACAGGATGAACATGGAACAGACACAAGATGGACACAGGGCCAGGAAGGCTCCCCAGGGGAGGCATACGGCAGTGGATAGAATGCAGGTTGCCCCTTGTGGGGGCTCAGCTGGGCTCTGGGCTCTCCCCTGCAGGCCTGGGGCATAGAGCCACCTTTGCCCACAGCGTAGCCCACTCTAGCTGCTACATACACCCAAGCTTCCCAGATGCCTCTCTGACCCTCTCATCTCTCCTGCTGCAAAGCCAGATTGGGCCCTGGGGGTTCGGCCCTGATACACATATACTTCCCACACACTGGACATGTACATGCAATCAGAGTCAGTCACAACCACGTGTACACTGTGGATGAAAGCCCACAGTTCCCCATGTGTCACCATGGCCACTCGACAAGCATAGACATGTATTCCCCCTTTCACAGTCCCTGGCTTATTGAACTGCCCCCCTCCCATTTCCTGTCCACCTGTCAGGCAGGGGGTGGGGCGGAGGTGGGGGGGGACACAGGAGGGAGGTGTCAATGTCCCTGGAGCCACTGACGGACATTCCTTGCCTGGGTCAGATCACAGAAGCTGCCTCCTTCCAGGAGCCTGAGCCGACTGTCCTCATGCCTTACCCAATGCCTGAGGGTGGGACAGCTGGGCTAAGTGCTCACAGCAGCAAGAAGTGTGGTTAGATAGCAGAAAGGACTTCCCAAGTGTGTAATGTGGTCATGTACGTGGTATATCCCCATCCTGGGGTTTTGTCCCAGCTCTGGCTTGCTGCGTGACCCCAGCAAGGGGTCTCTGTCCCTCTCTGGGACTCCGCATTCTAAATTGCAGGCTGCTGCTAACCAAGTAAAGGGGCTTCTTAAAGAGTCTGTGACGGAGGAGCTGGGGGCTAGGGCTTGGGTGAGGTATACAGCAAGGGAATAGTAGCTTCCTCGCAACAGGCATATGCACACACATGCAGTCATACACGGACATACATTCTGAGCCATGCCCTAGCTACTCCTGTATATGTACCTGCATTCTGTCATGGGTCGTTCATGTCGCAGAGACTCGTGTGGCACGTACACCCGTGCGCGCGGACGCCTACGCGGATACACACGTGCGCACTGTGCTGTTGTTCCCGTGGACCAGCAGGCTTGTCGTCGTGTCTCTCAGTCGCTGCTTGGGGGAGCCTGGGGTGACTCTGCTCCAGGGAGTGCACTCTGATTATTCCAGCAACCAGACCCGGTCGAGACACCCCCTGCCCCGCCCCCACACCCTCTGTTGCACGGTTTTTCTCTGTGAATGGACACAACGTGTCAGGAGATGTGGGGCTGGGGCCGACCCCCAGACATCACCTCCATCCTGTGATTGACGAGCTGAGGCCCGCAGCGCCCTGTTCCCCCCAGTTCCTGCCTCCCCTGAGCAGGTGGGGGGGGCTCCCTCTTCACAGAGCCCTTGTTTTTCTTTAATTAAACATCTGGCTCTCTGCGGCCTGGGAAGCCTCAGAGCCTTGCTGACAGCCACCCCTCCCCAACCTCTGGCATCGCTGATGGGTTGAAGGGGGAGAGCTGGGGTCCTGGGGCCCACCTGTCCCCACACTAGTGCAGGGGACCAGGGGCTCCAAGAATACCCTGACCGTGCTGTCCTCACCCCCCAGTGCCGCCGCGGGAGCCCGTGCTCAGCTGCCGCTCCAACACTTACCCCAAGGGCTTCTACTGCAGCTGGCATCTGCCCGCCCCCACCTACATCCCCAACACCTTCAATGTGACCGTGCTGTGAGTAGACTTGCCTGTGACCCGGTTCCAGCCCTGACCTCTGACCTCTCCTCCAGCCACCCACTGTGCCCTCATCCAGACCCTAGCCCAGCCTTGGGCTTGACCTTCCCCCAACCTCTGCCCCATCTGACCCTTGATGTTGGTAACAGTGCCTGGGCCTCACCCTTCCCCAGGCACGGCTCCAAAATTATGGTCTGTGAGAAGGACCCAGCCCTCAAGAACCGCTGCCACATCCGCTACATGCACCTGTTCTCCACCATCAAGTACAAAGTCTCGATAAGTGTCAGCAATGCCCTGGGCCACAACGCCACAGCTATCACCTTCGACGAGTTCACCATTGGTGCGTGGGGCGGGGGTGGTCCCTGCAGCATACTCCAGTGGGAGTGTGTCGGTGGATGTGTGCCAGAGGTGTATATGAGCATTGGTGGGGATATTCACGTGTGTGCCTAGGTACATGGGGCATGTGTATACATGTGTACATGTATTCATGGCATGTATATACCTGTGAACATTTGAGTGAATGTCCTTTACCTGCAGGGGCCAAGAGACCTTTCCAGCAGCTCTTCCCCATCGTCTCTCTGGCTCCCAGAGTATACAGGAGGGGGAGGGGGGCAGGCTGGGCCAGACCCTTGTGCAGCTGCAGCCTCCACCACCCCCCCCACGCTAATGGCTTCCTTACGGCTTGTGATGAATGAGGTGTCAGAACAGGAGACAGGACTGGGACAGATACCGCCCTCACCCCCACCCCCACCCCAACCAGACCCTCTGCCTGCCCCTGCCCCATCCCAGCAGAGCCCTTGCCTGCCCCTGCCCCATCCCAGCTAGACCCCTTGCCTGCTTTTACTCCATCCCAGCCAGAAGCCAGACCCCTTGCCTTCCCCCACCCCATCCCAGCCAGACCCCTTGTCTGTTCTTACCCCATCCCAGCCAGACCCCTTGCCTGTTCTTACCCTATCCCAGCCAGACCCCTTGCCTGCTCTTACCCCATCCCAGCCAGACCCCTTGCCTGCTCTTACCCCATCCAAGCCAGACCCTCTGCTTGCCCTCCATACCATGGCTGAGACCCCCAGACTGTTTCTGCATGAGCTGGGCCCTTAGACTCCCATCACGTCCTCAGCCTACCTCCAACCCAGAACTGCCACACCTGTGGACTGTCTTTTAACCTTGACCCACAGAGCAGCCTCAAACCCAGACTCTTCCAGGGGAGAGTATATCTCAGTTTGGAACTGGAAGAGTTGAGGTGAAAAGCCAAGCTTGAGGGGAGTATATGATGCTGGTGCAGGAGGGGGTGATCCCGGTGACAGTGGAGGTAATGCTGGTAATGGTGGAGCCATCATACAGACTTGGTAATTGGGATGCTGGTCATTATGAGCATGGGGTTGGGATGATGGGATGAAATTTGGAATATCGCTATCATGAGCTGGTGACAGTGACTGTAGTGACAGTCCTTGGTGGTGACGGGGATGTGAGAGGTGGAAATGAGACGGTTGTTAATGGTAGTTGCCAGAATTGACAACAGAGAAGAGGGGTGGCCACCGTGACAACTAGGACAATGGTTGGTGATATGAGATGGTGGACATGGTGACTGGGGTTGACACAGTGGGGTCGTTCCCAGAGATTAGTGAGGTAATGAAGCTGTGTCTCCTTAACAGTGAAGCCTGACCCTCCAGAAAATGTGGTAGCCCGACCAGTACCCAGCAACCCTCGCCGGCTAGAGGTGACTTGGCAGACCCCTTCGACCTGGCCCGACCCTGAGTCCTTTCCTCTCAAGTTCTTTCTGCGCTACCGACCCCTCATCCTGGACCAGTGGCAGCATGTGAGTGCCCTGCCCTGCCCAGATCCCAAGTGCCCGAATCAGAGCCTCGTGGCGTGGGAGGTATCCATAACACCCATATCAGCTGGTCACTGTTCCAGTGTGAAGCCTGGGGGCAGTCAGAGAGGCTTTCTTTCCTCAGGGAGAGGGGATCAGATGGGCTTGGAAGGATGGATGGGGCTGAGGAAGGTATCCTGATCGGAGGCCCTAAAGGGTTCCCAGTGGCCTCCATTAGTGTGATGGGAACACATCTGTTTTTGTTGCCCGGGGTAATGGGGAGAAATGCTGGAAGGGAGATGGCAGGCAGGGCAGGTAGGATTTCCCTTTCCTTCACTCTGGCTCTTAGCCCTGACCCGGCATCTCCCTCTTAGACCCTGGCCCAGGCTGCGGGCCTGTGCTGGCCCCAAGGGGCAGGACATCCTGGTCCTCAAGGACTTATAGTCTCAAGGGCTCAAGGGGTCAGAATCAGGCAGTGGTGGCAGACTTGTTCCAGGGTATGAGTTCAGGCCACGATGAGTGTCAGGGCTCCAAAGTCAGCTGTAGCTTAGGGGTCCGCCCAAGGTTACAGGTCGGAAGGTAGCCTAGGCGGGGAACGAAGCAGTGGATAAGGGCTGTATGGGGCAAGGGTGTGGTCTGGGATATTGATCAAGCTACAGTTGCTCTGAGGAGCAGCCAGGCATTTGGGGCTGACTTAATGTTCTCTCTCCTTTGACAGCCCTGGGCCCATAGGGTTGTAGGCACTCTTTCTGGCCCATGAGGTCTGTGGGCTAGGACTGGGGCTGCGAGGGTGCTCCACAGGCTAACCCAGACTGGTACCCAGGGGTCAACCCACCCACTAGGCTCCAGCCCCATCTCCTCATGCCCCCCTTCCAGCTAGCCTTTAAAGTGCGTAATTTGATTCCAGGGTGCCTGTCCGGGTTGTAGGCCTGGCCCCCACAAAGGCTGCTCACATGTTCTCTGACAGAGTCCGGAGTCCCTCCTGCCTGGCCAGCTGCCCGTGCCTAATGCGTTGCTAATAACCAGGGTCTAGTTTCACAAGCCCCCCCCCCCATGCTAACGAGCTACAGGCAGCACCGCGTACCGCGGCGCACACGCCTCACGGCGGGCCTGGCATAGCGCCCACCACACACACGGGGGCATGCACACATACACGTGGTCCCCAGCAGGAACCATGCTGCACACATGCATGTGGCTAACATGCCAAGACCATGTACTGCAGAACTGACCCGCACGCTGACGTGGGTAGAGCAAAATACGAGGACTCTGTGCTAAGAACATGTATGACCTGTGGCACATGCTTGCCCTGTTCCATATCTCATTGACATTGGAGTTGGCTCAATTTATGGCTCTTTTGAACTTGAATTTTGCTCTGAATAGAATCTACTCTCCCTAATTCTTTATGTTGGAGAGAAGCAGGTGTATGATCGGGAGGTGGTACAGAGGGGAGAGCAGAGAAAAACATCACTTGGATTTTCAGGGGGGAAATGAAAGCTACAGGCCAGGATTGACAAGAATGGGCACCATGAGGTCTGGCAGGGGCTATCTCAGCATGGACAAGGTGAAGCAAGTACTGGGACCCAGCATGGGTTCCCTGCATCTTCTGCTCAGGCCCTAACTCAGCAGGGAGGCTGGAGGGCGTGTCTGACATGTGCTGCGGCCTACTGGATGGAGGACTCTGAGGCTAGGCAGATGCCAGCTACTAGAGAATTCCTGCCAACTGGGGAGCCATTCTCTTAAGGGTGTGGATTAAGGGATCAGTGACAACCTAGAAAGAAGGGCCCAAGCCTAGATGTGGCTGCCAGGAAAGCATTGGGCTCCTGGGCCACCTTTCTGGAGGGGTATGGTGCCCACCATAAGCCCACCAATGAGGTGGTAATTTGATCTCTCCATAGCTCTCTCCCTCTCTACTCAGCCAGAGGGGGTCTTTGGAGGGCAAAAGGGTATAGGGGACCAGAGGAGGAGCTAGGCCCCAGCTCCAGGGGAGGAGAGTCTGTGGGGTCCACCGATCTTCCAGGGCTGGGAGTAGGACTGACTGAGCCCAGGTCTGGGCCCTAAATGACTTTCACCCTGACCCTGACCTTTACCAGTGTCTCCACCTCAGGGCCACAGATAGTGGTGGGAGCGGGGGAGGTTATTGGAGGGGCTTCCTGCTCTACTTAGACCCATCTTCACACACATGAATACACATACACATGCGTGCATGTACTCACAGCCTGTCGGGTAGGTAGCGCAGACCCGGTTTTCCGGGAAGGAAGATTGGAACAGGGACCAAAAAAGCCCTGAAGCCAGACGTGGCCCAGAGCAGCCCCCTCCTCCGCCCTTGCCGGCTGCCCCTGTTTACGAGGAGGCTTAATGAGGCAGCGGGTGCCGCTGAGATGAACCAGAGCCCAGCCTGGGACTGGGAGGGGCGCTGGACAGGCAGGCCAGCCTGAAGGGTGGGGGAGACCAGCAGAATAGGGCTGGCCTGGGCAGGGGTGGGGTGGCGATGCCTCCAGGAGGAAATGGAGCAGCTGTCCTGCTGTCCTGCTGCTTGGGAGCTGCCCCCACCCCCAGCCCCTTCTGCCTCAGGCAGGGTGATAACCATACTGAGGCCTTCCTGAGTGGGAGGCTCAGTGGGGGCTAGGCTGGTGGGTGCACTGGGCATCTGGGAAGCCAGGCTCTGATGATGACAGAGCTGGCTGAAGTGTGTTTGGTGCTTACCATGTGCCCGAGTCCTCATTATACTCCTGTGAGATCATTAATGCCATTTTCCAGATCAGGACAGCAAGGCATATGGAGGTTAAGGAACTTGGTCACCCGGCTGAGAGGGGATGGAGCTAAAACCTGGATTGAGGCAGCCTAGCTCCACGTCTGTGTTTATAACCTTCCTTCTAAGCACATCACCATCTCTTCTCTTACCCTGTTACTCTTGTCACCTCCAGGGAGGGACTGAGATCAGGGCTTAGGCTGGGTACTGTGAGGGAGCTGGGATGACAGCAGAGTGAGACACTGAGCACAGTCCTCCTTCTGCTCCCCTGGGGGTGCTTCCGGTCTCCGTAAAGATTTTCTTACTCTCCTTCAGGATCCTCTTCCCTCCCTCGGGGTCTCCTCCCCGAGATGTCTTTACCCTCTTTCAGGAATATTCTCAATATCCTCTCTCTCTCCCCCCAGGAAGCTCTCTTTTCCTCCGTGGGGGGGGGAGGGTCTTCACTCTTCTCTCCCCGGCAGTGTTCTCAGTTCCTCTGGGGGTGCCTCACTCTCCTGACCCCCGGGGCCCCACCCCTATCCCGCGGTCTGGCTGCAGGTAGAGCTGTCAGACGGCACAGCGCACACCATCACAGACGCCTATGCCGGGAAGGAGTACATCATCCAGGTGGCGGCCAAGGACAATGAGATTGGGACGTGGAGTGACTGGAGCGTGGCCGCTCATGCCACACCCTGGACTGAGGAGCCACGACACCTCACCACTGAGGCCCAGGCCCCGGGTGAGCCCCCCCCCGACCCCCTGTTCTCTCAGTGGGCCTGCGCTGTTGCCTGGCTCTATCTTGCGCCTTCCCACCCCTCCCAGGACTCAGAGCCTTAGAGCCTCTGCCGCAGGCACTCTGTGGCCGCCACACTCCTGTCTGTCTGTCCTGACCAAGCTGTGCCTCATCCTTGCTGTCTGGACATTCTTGGTAGGGGCCGTGGGGTGGAGGGGTCATCCGTGAGCCATGGGGAAGCAGGATCTGCCTGATGGGGGAGGCAGGACATGTCTGAGAGAGGAAGCAGGGGCTCTCTGATGGGGGAGGCAGTACCGGTCTAACACAGGGAGCAGGAACAGTGTGCCTCATGAACCCCCCAGATCTGGGTTGACTGCAGCCCTGGCCCTGCCCTGAGTTCCCCCCCATGTTCCCCAGAGACCACGACCAGCACCACCAGTTCACTGGCACCTCCACCCACCACGAAGATTTGTGACCCTGGGGAACTGGGCAGCGGCGGAGGACCCTCAGCCCCCTTCTTGATCAGTGTCCCCATAACTCTGGCCCTGGCTGCTGCCGCCACTGCCAACAGTCTCCTGATCTGGTAAGTCAAGTGAGGTGGGGTGACAGAGGGGAGCCCGAGGGGACCCCCACCCACCGTCATCCCTCACAGCCCCCTGCCCTGTTTCCCCAGAGCCCGGCACCCCGTGAGGACATGCCAGCGCACCTGCAGAGGACCAGGAGGCCGGAGCTGAGCCCGCAGACCCCAGTTTCTATTTTGCACACGGGCGGGAGGACCTTCTGCATTCTCTTCAAACATAATTTGTAGAGACCCCGGCAGGCCCGGGCCTGCCGCCCCCTAGCCCTGCCACACCATGCTGGCTCTCCTCCCGCCCTCAGAAGAGGAGGACCCTGCAGCTAACCCACCCACCAAAGACCCCCCACCCCCACCCTGGCCCCTCGGGCTGGACCCTCCAATGCCAGCCACTCCCAGGAGCCCTTGGGGGGGGTCTGAGGGGAGCCCCTCACATCCATAATTTCTCCTGCCCCAGCCTCCTGTCTGTCCCAGGGTCTCTGTTGCCACCATCAGATTATAAGCTCCTGACGCTGGGGGGGCCCAGCCATCCCCCTCCCCCCAGCGCCCACACTTTTCACTCCCCCACCTGTCCCTGTTTTGTACGACCCTCCCCTTTCCCTGCTCCCACCCCACGGTATTTAATGCCCTGTCAGTCCCTTCTAGTCTGACTCAATGGTAACTTGCTGTATTTGAATTTTTTATAGATGTATATACAGGGGTGGGAGGGTGGGGGGTTCTCATTAAACGTCACCATTTCATGAGTCCTTGGAACAGACTCACTTTGGGAGGGTACCCTTCTTCCAAGGATCCCTCCCCTTCTAGCCGTGGAGGGGGGAAGAAATTCTAGTTGGAGAGAGACAACTCTCTCCATATAGATGGGGAGACGCAGTATAGCTCTCAGGCAGATGTGTCTGGGGGTGGGGCTTTCTGCTTCTTTGGAGGAGAAGGCCCCCTGGAGGCCAGGGGCAGAGTTGTGGGGAATGAGGGGTCCCAGTGAGGCAGGTCCCACACGGGGATGTCCAGTCAGTCCTGGAGGCTGCTGAATCCTGACAGGGGAAAGGCCTGTCAAGAGTCATCTCCAGAACTGCCTTCCAGGAAAGCCTAGGCTTTAGCCATAGGGGCAGAGATGCAAGAAGGTGAGGAGGCCAGACTTCATCTTTGGGGTACGGGGGGTGGTCATCCCCGTCATGCAGTTCAGACACAGTTCAGTGGCTCTAGGAGGTCAGGCCTGGGGCTCAGCTAGGCTATAAGGCTCAGAGGGCAGAGTGTACTGGGCCTGGGCAGGGCGGGAGGCTGCCTGAAGGAGGCCACTTGGGTACGTGACTAGGAACTGGGCCTGTGTTTCAGGACTGGAAATGTGAAACAAGATTTACCCCCAGGGTTAGATTACAGTTGAGACTCAGTGTGAGCCGGAGAAGAGCAGGCTTTGGTGTTCCAGAGTACCCAGTTTTTGGTCTAGTTCTGTACCCTGCCCACACCCTTCCAGTCCTCAAACTGGGATTCCAAGGTCCCTTTGGTTTCTCCTCAGAGGAGGCACGCCTGCTCAGGTCCAGCCCCCTTGTAGAAGCCACTGCACCTTCTACCACAGTGGGGGGGGCCACTGCAGCTCCTTAGCTGAGGATGCCTAGGTCTGGGGCCACTGGCCTTGGGGGTGGGAGCAAAGGATTATACCAGAACCCCAACCTGGGGAGCCAGGCTTGGCCTTGCTCTGAGTGGCTGGGATGAGAGAGAGATGAAGTCAGAGGCACGAATACACTGACTTGCGCGAACACTCCCCACAGCAGGTGCTGAGTGCCACACCTGGCACTAAGCCACTCATCCTGTGATCACACACACACACACACACACACACACACACACACCCCAATTCAAACCCTTTTCTTCAGACCAGGGTCAGAAAATGGACATTCCTTGCTGGTCTCACCAGGCCTGCCTGGGATTGTGCCCCTGGGAGGAGGGATCCACGTTGCCTCAAGCACTGATGAGTTAGGCCTGGACAGGGCTTGGGGCTGGGTGAGGGGCTCAGATGGAAGGTGGCTGGCTCTCTTCCAGGCCAGGCACTACAGGAGGAGAGGGGGTGTTCCAGGTGGGAGATCTCATGGAAAACAAAAGGGCTGATGTCAGGGTAGAGGGGCTTTTCAAGCTGAGTAGCCCCAGCTAGGGGAATGCATGACTCCTCATTCCAGGAAGAGGCTCCCATGATTGGACATACAGAGAAGTGGCTGTGGACCTCCCTCTGGACCCTGGACCCCTGATTTGCCTGTTTGGTTTCTGTGAGATGTGGCTTGAGCCTGAACCTGTATTCCAGGTTCAGCAGGAGTGGACAGAGCAGGCAGCACCAACTCTTTCCAAGGACATTGTATTCCTGGGGTGGGTCTGAGCCTCCCGCTTCCCTGTCTCTGTGGTAGTGGGGCTAAAGCTCAGAGGTCTCCAGCCTGTGCTGCTTTCCTGCCTTGAGAACCTTGGTCAGCCCTGACCCACCCACCGCCCACCCAGGGCTTGGGCATCAGCAATCTGGCCTCCATTAGCAACATGGGAAAGCAATTATGTGGGGTCTGGGGAGGAGAAAGAGGGGAGGGGGCCTGCTGGTGCCTCAGAGGCCAGCGGAGAGGCCTGCGGCATCTCCCTGCCCCCAACCTCAAGAGAGAGAGACCCAGCCCTGTCCTAAGTGCCAAGGTGGCTGGAGGGCCAGTGTCATTGCCTCTGACGGGCCTGGGCCTGGGGGTGGTCATTCCTCTTTGGGCGTCTTGGCCCTCAACCTCACAGAGGCTGCTCGCTTTGGAGGGTCTTAGAGTGCTGTCCGCTGCTGCCTCCAAGTATTGTCCTTCCGCGTCATTATTTCCCGTGGTGGTTCTGGGGAGCTGGGGTAAGTATAGACATCAATTCTTAAAGCTAAATCAGATCCCAGAAAATGGAAACTGCTGAGGGGGGCTGCCAGGGGAGGCTGGGATCCCAGGCCCAATGTGTATGGTGGCTCACTAGTTCTCGTTGCTCCCCCAAGGGGCACTGGAGATGGGGGCCTTCTTATACGCCCCATTCCTATAAGGCTGACTTGTCTCTGCCCCCATCCTCTTCTCACTGAACCCATTTCCATCAGTCTCTGTCCCATTCCTATCCCTGAACTTGTCTTTGTCCTGGTTCCTATCCTGTGTTTCTCTCTGTCTCTATCCTGTCTCCTTTCCCGCGTACGTCTCTATCTCCTGTCTCTGTCTCCATCCCTGTTTGTCTCTCTCTGTCTCCTCCCTCAGTCTTCCCTCTTCTGTCCTCCTCCCTGTCTCTGTGTGTCTACCCCCATCTCAGTCTCCTCGTGTCTCTCCGGCTCTTCATGGATCCCCACCCCATCTGTGTCTCTGTTCCTCTTTCCTGACTCTGTCAGCGCTTCGCTCTCTTTGCCTCCCTCTTTGTGTTCTTGCCCTGGTCCAGACCCCAGCCTGTGGCCACAGCGCTGCTTTGGCCTGAGCTAGGGACTGTCCTGGCTTCTGCTGCCCCCTCTCGGCCACCTGCCTGCCCTTCACTCCTGCTCCGGGGCAGGCGGCTGGTAGCTGACACACCCCACATCTTCCAGCAGCCAGCCAGGAGAGAGGAAGGTGGTCGGGAGACAGGAGGCAGGAATCCGGGGGCAGCCTCTGGCCCTGCGAACTCCCCAGAGCCAGTGGGTGAGCTCATTAACTCCCTAGACTGGGACTCTGGGGAAGTTCATCTTACATGGAAAGAATGGAGTGCTTGGGGGGCAGAAAAGATTGGGGTGTAATCCTCACACCCTTCCCTCTCCTCAGATGAGGGCAGAGAGGAAGGAGGTCTGAGGAGGGGAGTCTGATGGAGCCAGCATGAGGAGAGGCTGGCGGAGAACTTTTCTGACAGGGGTACTCCAGTGGGGCAGGGCTAACCTGAAGGTGAGTGAGCCAGTGTGAAAGGATTTGTCTGAGGGGAGGCTGGTCTGGGAAATGCTGCTATAGAGATCTCAGTTGGAAGGGCCAATCTGAGAGGGGGTAGATTAATCAAGAGAGCTTCTGAAGGGTCCAGTCTGAGGAAAGACCACTCGGAAGGCACACAGGTCTGAGAACAGGATCACCAACTACTCCTAGTTTGCCTGGGACTCTCAGTTTTAGCACTGAATATCTCAAGTCCTGGACAATCCCTCAGTCCCAGGCAAACTGGGACTCTTGGTAACCCTATTTGAGAAGGCCTTGCCTAACAGTGCTGGTCTGATGGGAAAGTCAATCTGTGGGCGAGTGGATCTGAAGGGGCCTGGTTTGACAGTGCCAGTCTGAGGGGAGAGGCTGTTTAAGGCTGGAAGCTTCTTTGGGCAGGCACCAGGCCCATAAGGGAGTGGATAATAGGGTCCTTCCAGAAGGGCAGTGGCTAGGGGAGTGGCCACCAGGGGGCAGAGCAAGCTCTCAGGAGAATCAGAGGCAAAGGCCCCAGAAGGGAGCAAGACAGTGCAGAGCTGTGTGCAAAGTGTACCTTCAGTATCATGTGTCACTGGGCCATTGTCTGCAGGTTTGTGGTGGTGGTATACAACCACACAGTTATGGTTTTGTGTGACTAGGTGACCAGGGGCACATCCGTGGTATGTTAGCATGTAGCCTGTGATGGTGTCTAGTGTGGCCATGGCTGAGGCCTTACCTGTGGCTATAGGGAAGAGAGCAAAGGCATCCTTGGGACGCAGGGACAGGGAGGCAATATAAGTGGGGCAGAGAAGTTTCCTTGGGAGGGGCTGAGATGAGGAGAGACAGGAACTAGGCTTCCCTACTTGTACCTACCCTGGCTTTCTATACTATTCCCTGAGAGTCCAAGAGCTAAATGCTTTGGTCACACACACACGGGCAGCCCCCAGACCAGACTGCATGCCTAGGCCCTGCCTTCCCTACTCTCCAGCCTCTCTCCTCCTGCCCCCTTCAGCTGGCATTCCTCCAGCTAGATACCACCCCTGCCCACCCCTGCCCACCCCTGCCCCCTCCCCCATTCTCCAATCATTGTTCCTGTCTGCCCTACTTCCATGCCTTGGTTCCCGTCCCGTGCCCTGCCTGGATGCTGTCTTGTGAAGCACTGAGGCCCCCCTGGTGCTGCCCCCTTTCCGTCCCTCTGCCATGGGCCGAACACCCACTTTGTCCTAAGGCCTAGTCCTACGGGCCTGTTTCCCTCCAGGGATCTGAAAGTGCTAGGGGCTGCGAGGTTCTTGCCAAAGGAGGGGTCTGAGGGGA